AGCAGGGGAAGGCTGGCTCCCAGAGTTGAGGATTGGGGTGACCGAGCAGATCACCGGTCCGGATAACACCAGGAGAACATCACACATATATATTGTTAGAGGTTGACAATGTAACCAAATGGTTCCTGTCTATGCTGTATTCTGCTAATTCAGAGATCGAAAGGAGACCTTAACATTTAAATGAATGTAAATATAGTGATATCACTGTATTGACCTCTCTTTGAAGGATATAGCAGATCACCTGCAAATGGTGGAAAACAGGCAATTGCTTATGTTAATCCATGTATCAGAGGGCTAGCTGTGTTAGTCTGTATCCACAAAAACAATGAGGAGTCCGGTGGCATCTTAAAGAGTAACAGATTTATTTGGGCATAAGCTTTCATGGGTAAAAAACCCACTTCTTCAGAGGCCACAGAAACCTCCTTGGGACTGTCACCTGACGTGCTGAGACTACCTCTGAGCCTGTTTTCCCTGTCAGCTTGGGACTTCAGAACCCTGCCTTGTTGATGCACATACGCTAGCCTGCTGCAATACAGGGGTCTGAACCATGCCCCCAAAGCTACAGACTTAACTGAAAACAGCTTAGAAAGTGCTCCTGTCTCCAGCACCCAGACACCCAGTTCCCAATGGGATCTAAACCCTAAATAAATCCATTTAACTCTGTATAAAGCTTATAGAGGGTAAACTCATAAATTGTCCACCCTCTATAACAGTGGTCTCCAAACTTTTTTGATCGTGCGCCCCTATCAGTAAAAATTTTTTGAGCACGCACTCCCTGCCGCGCCAAAGCAAAAAAAACAAACAAACCTCGGACTCACGCCCGAACTGCTGAAGCACCCCACTTTGGAGACCACTGCTCTATAACACTGATAGGGAGATATGCACAGCTGTTTGCTCCCCAAGCTATTAATCACTTACTCTGGGTTTATTAATAAACAAAAGTGATTTTATTAAGTATAAAAAGTAGGATCTAAGTGGTTCCAAGTAATAACAGACCGAACAAAGTAAGTTACCAAGCAAAATAAAACAAAACACGCAAGTCTAAGCCTAATACATTAAGAAACTGTTACAGGTAAATCTCACCCTCAGAGATGGTCCAATAAGCTTCTTTCACAGACTGGACTCCTTCCTAGTCTGGGCCCAATCCTTTCCCCTGGTACAGCCCTTGTTAGTTCCAGCTTGGGTGGTAACTAGGGGATTTCTCATGACTGGCCCCCCTTTGTCCTGTTCCACCCCCTTATATAAAACTTTGGCCCAAGGCGGGAATCCTTTGCCTCTCTGAGTCCCCACCCCTCCTTCTAAATGGAAAAGCACCAGGTTTAAGATGGATTCCAGTACCAGGTGACATGGTCACATGTCCTGGGAGACCCCAAGCCTTCATTCTTCCCGGCCTGACTCACAGGAAGGCTTGTAAGTAAACAGAGCCATGCACAGTTAATTGTCCTAGTTGATGGGAGCCATCAAGATTCCAAACCGCCATTAATGGCCCACACTTTGCATAATTACAATAGGAGCTCAGAGTTGTATTTCATATTTCTAGTTTCAGATACAAGAGTGATACATTTATACAAATAGGATGATCACACTCAGTAGATTATAAGCTTTGTAATGATACCTTACAAGAGACCTTTTGCATGAAGCATATTCCAGTTACATTATACTCACACTCATTAGCATATTTTCATAAAGTCATATGGAGCGCAATGTCACAGCAGGCGCTAGTGTTTCTCTTTGACCGGTAACCTTGTGTTTCCAAACCCTTTTACTTGCCTTGAGTTTCAGTCTCTAGCTCAGGGTTGGTTAAATAAACGGCAGTTCGGTTTTACTACCGACGCGTCTGCGGGCCTCGTGCCCAGGGGAGGGTTGGACGGCGGTGAGGCCGGTGCATTGGGTAGCTCTGCTAACGCCTCGCATGACGCTCTAGCGGGACAGCCCGACGACCAGCTGGCCTCGTGGCCAGCTGCCGGCCTTGTCATCCTGGAGGGATGTTGTGTGCGATGGCCCTTAATCCCTCTTGAGTTCTCTGATCCCTCCGGGAGGCTCTGTGCTCACAGAGGAGCAGGGTGGCCAGTGGAGGGACCCAGCCCCACCCACTCCACCCGCTCCTGATCCTGGGCCCACGGGGTTTGTCCAGCCAGTCCTGCCCCGCTGGAGACCCCCGGTTGGGGTGTGGTCACTGGCTTGGCAGACTCCAGTCGATGTCCCATTCAGCTTTCGGCTGCCGAGAGGGGGCTCCAGGAGACCCCCTCACCGAGGGCTGCTCATTGCCCCCCAGGCAGTGGTGAGCATGGGCTGCGACACTCCGGGAGGGCATCGGCCCCAGCGAGGCTGACGGCGTTACACTGTGGTATGGCTGGGGGACATCCGGGGTCGAGAAGCTTACCCCATGGCCAGCCTGGATGGCGCAGGTAGGGGCTGGGTAATGGCTCGCTCCACCTGGGGGCCCCCCAGGACAATCCACGCTGCCTCCCAAGCCCCGGGCAGCTCAGGCTCTTCTGGGACCCTCCCTCTCCCCGAAAGAGGAGCTGGGTCCCACTGGGTGGTAGCAGGCGACTTCTCTGTGTGGGCCATGGCTGAGGCCTGGCCTGAGGTGAGCGGGGTCGGGGAGGGACACTCTCGTTTTTGGAGGATAGAATTAGGGAAGGAAATCAGGCTGTAAACAGGGCGTGTCAAAGGAGATCAGCGGGCTAAGAAGGCAGACAGTCTGAACCCGCTGAGATAGGAGGGAGAACACCCCGGGAACCAGGGTGATGTTCCCCAGGTACCGTCTGGACCGACGGACAGGCTGTGTCCTCATGGTTCTCTCCTCTGGGGTGCCTCTCACCACCACCCCCGGTCTGCCCCCGCCCCTCCAGCGCGTAACTCCCCCCCCCGGCTGTACTGGGCGGGGGCTGTGGCCGGCCACTCCCGGGTTACACTTCAGAGCCACACCAGACCCCCTCTCGTGCTCTCTGTCCCGCAGCTGTCAGAGTCTCTGCTCTGGGAGTCTCCCGGCCCCCTGTTAGTATCTAGGCCTGTGTGTTAGCCCGCGAGAGCCTTTTGGGTCTGATCTTTGACACTCTCATCTCCTTCCTAACGTGTGTGACCAAAGCCCAAAGACACGGGGCGGGACGCCTGCCCACAAGCAGGTCGGGTGGAAAGAGAGCTGACGTGTTGCTGGGCAGAGTGGACGCGTCAGTACTAGGACGAGTCAACAAGACGCCAGACAGGGAAATAACCCACTTCCTCCCCTGACAACCGAGGGACGCACCCCACCCATGTACCCATTCACTGACCTGGACTCGAAATCCAGCCCATGGGTGGCGTACCCGAGATCACTTATCCCGCATCCCAAGCTGGGTGTGTGCTGGCTATGTGCCAGGGACGTACCTTGTGAACCTGGGAACCGATCTGTGTAATCTCTCATCACTCAAGCCTGGCCCCAGATGGACAGCACCGTCCTTCCTAACTTGGGTAAACTTGATTTTAAACATTAGCTGTAATAAAAGTTTTTAAATATACGAGCATACACAGGGAGACCGCCTGGCTCCTCTCTGAAGCCAAGGTCAAGCAACCAGTCAGGAGGGGTCAGGGGCATCGGAGCCGGGTAAGGGAATGCGGGGTAAATGCTCCGCGGTGTCGGAGCCGGGGAGGGGGATGCAGGGTAAATGCCCCACGGCGTCGGAGCCGGGAAGGGGGATGTGGGGTAAATGCTCTGCGGTGTCGGAGCCGGGGAGGGGGACACGGGGTAAACGCCCCACGGCGTCAGAGCCGGGAAGGGGGATGCGGGGTAAATGCTCGGCAGTGTCGGAGCCGGGAAGGGGACACTGGGGAACAGACTCTGCTGATGTGTCGAGCGATGGAGATGTTTGCTTGCGACTAACCCCACCAAACAGCACATCGCCTGCACTTCGGACTTCTGGTCTTCTGCTCTCTGTCTGCGTGAGAAGCAGCAGGGGAGGGGGTGAAGGGCCAGTCCCGGGGACCCCCCAGGGCTAGCGCCCTCACAGCATCCCTCCAGAGGCGCCTGTGCTGCTCATGTCCCGGATGCAGCTCCCTGGGCCCACTCCTGCCAAGTGACCCCAATATTACAGCGGGAAGAACCGACTGGGGCTGCGGTGGGTTCGCCGTCACGGCAGCTCTTCCGCCGGTGGGGACCGTCGTCGAACCGCCCTGCCTGAGCTCCCCCTGGCATTATTCGGGGTGTCCTACGGCTGGAGCGGATGCTCCCCGGGGTCACCTTCTAGCCATAGACCCCGTGACTCTGTAATTTGGCCAGTCGCCTTTTGCTGTTACAATTCTGCTCTCAGCCAGTGATGGAGCCGCAAACCTTTTTATTAAATACACAAAAATATAAAACTCTGCAGAAATGGGTGTGATTTCCTCTCACGCAAAATGTACAGGCAAGTGTCCCAGGGCATGGGCAGAGCTGGGGGGAGCCCGGGGCTGGGCTGGCAGGGGGCTGCGTGTCGGGAGTGAGGGGCACCGGCGGAGCAAGCCTTCCTGTAACGGATTCAGCCGTTAATTACTCAAGTCCTGAGAGTGAGTTGAAAGGAAATTGTGACGAGCCAAGAGACATGAGCATCCTGCCCCGAACCACAATCACACGCCCAGCCCTGCCAGTGCCCCTCACTCCCGACCTGCAGCCCCTACCAGCCCCGGCCTGGGTTCCCCCCATCCCCACTCCTCAGCTGGACGGCCAGTTTCTACAGCCGGCTCTGGGAGGGGAGTGCGGTCTAGTGGGTTAGAGCAGGGGATGGGGTGGGAGGTGGGGGGATGGGAGCCAGGACTCCTGGGTTCTATGCTGTTCACACCCTAAACTGTTCTCGAACGGCCTCGAAGAGTGAATCATAAACAGGAAACTTGTGGCTGGGGACGGCGGAAAATCTTGCAAAAGACACAAAGAAAGACTTGAGCAAGAAAGACAAGGAATCCCACAGAGCCTAGGTGGGCAGATGGAAACAGCCCCGGCCTCCCGCAGCAGGGGGTGCGGTGGGCGGGGCAGGTGATTGGGGCGGGGCTTACACAGGGGGCATGGCTTCCTGCTCCATGGGCGGGGGCAGGGGGAATTCCCCATTGGCGGGGGGATCCGGAGGAGGTGAGGGGGGTCCGGGCATCAAGGGCAGTGTCCCATTGGCTTCCCCTGCCCCCTGCAGCGTGGGGTCACCCCCCTGCTCCCCTGCAGCCAGCAGGGGCTCCGAAAGGGGCCCCTCGCCCTTCGCCCCGGCCACGTCCTCCATGGCCACCGAGGACACCCGGGAGTGGCGCTTCCCGAAGAAAGTGGTCAGCGTGGGCCGCCTGGCTTCGCCCGGCCCGGCCTGCTGCCCCCCATCCCCGGCCTGCCCCTCGCCCTTCTCCTCCGGCAGGCTCACCGGCCCCGCCCACTCGCCAGGCCCCGCCCGCCCGCTGAAGCTGGTGGAGCCGGACCGGCGCCGCTTCCGACAGTGCAGCGCCAAGGCGAGCAGGGCCAGCACCAGGATGGCGACAACGACCAGCACCACAATGATGCCCACGGGCAGCTGGCGGGTGGAGGAGGAGGTCGTGGAGGTGGGGGTGGGGCTGGGGGCCGGAGCCTTGGAGTCGGGCTTTTTGTTGACAGGCGGAGTGGGGGATAGAGCAGAGGGTGAGAGTTCGGGGGTGGGCTGGTTCTCCCTGTAGCGTCCGGTCCGATCGGTGCTGGCTGGCACGGTCCGGTTGTCCCCGCTCCGATCGATGCCCTTGGCCTTGGCGCGCTCCGTGGGGGCGCTCTCGTTCTGCCCGCTCCTGCCTGGCAGTGTCTGAGTCTCCTGCCCCGGACCTGGGCTCCCTGGTACCGTGCCCGCTTGCCCCTTCAGTCCCTCCCGCGTCAGATTCGTGACGGGCTGTTTTCCACCCGCTGCCGTCGCCCCGGCCTGGCCGGATCCCAGGGCCAGGGCTGCCTCCGTAGAGGGAAGGGCAGATGGAGACACCGAGACAACCGGCTCCTTCATTGCCAGTGTCTGGGTGGTGGTGAGTTCCTGCTGTGCCGCGGTGGGTGGATGCCCGGCTAATTTGGCAGAGGGCTCGGTGCTGTTGGTGGTTAATTCGGCAGAGGGCCCGGGGCTGGTGCTGGTTAATTCGGCAGAGGGCCCGGGGCTGTTGCTGGTTAATTCGGCAGAGGGCCCGGGGCTGGTGCTGGTTAATTCGGCAGAGGGCCCGGGGCTGTTGCTGGTTAAGTCAGCAGAGGGCTCGGAGTGATTGCTGGTTAAGTCAGCAGAGGGCGAGGTAGTTTCCAGACCGGCACCGATGTGCCGGCTTTCCTCACTGGTCCCTGAGCTGGCGTTGGCCTTCAATTCGAGTGGTGTTAGTGCACCGGCTGCAGCTACCAGGAAGAGCAGGAGCGTAGGCCGGATTTTCGGCTGGGGCCAGGCCCCCGATACCACCATGGTGTCTGGGCTCCCTCGTCCTGTGCCGGGGCTCGACGGACGGGTACGGAGCAGACAGGGGACCGAAGATGCGCCGGACGCACAAACACCAGCCTGGGAGCGAAAGGGAAAGTGGGTCAGTTTAAGGGTCTCTCCCAGCAGGGGGCGATGGGGAGCATCACACCAATTTCTTCGCTCCATATTTATCCCAGGCTGCGCCGGAAGCCAGAAGCCAGATTTAGAATCAAACATCAAAGGGGGAACTGAAAACTGCCAGATGCAGAGAGCACCAATGGGAGGAGCTGAGGGGGGAGCCCAGGGCTGGGCTGGCAGGGGCTGTGGGTCGGGAGTGAGGGGCACCGGCAGAGCTGTGCTGGGTGTGTGTGGAGGAGCCCAGTGAATTTCACCCTATGGGGCAGATGCCCCCAAATGACCCCCCCTAATTTTCCACTCTGCCCCCGGCTCACCCAACGGCTGGGCTGCACCTGCTGAAATATCAGCACCCACCCCACACCACAGAAACCTCGGAGAGAGCCAGACAGTTCCCAGAACAGCCGGCCCCACCCAGCTGGCACCAAGCCCTGGGTCCAACCCGCAGCCCCTCCAGCTCTGCCGGTGCCCCTCACTCCCGACCCGCAGCCCCCCCCGC